GCCCTGAGTGCTCATAGTCGCTTCTGTGCCATTTGCTCTGGAGCTGTATGTGCTTTTCCATTGGGAGCCTTTAATATAGGATGCCTCCATCTGTTTACCTTCGAGAGGAAAAGGTAGAAAACAGCGCTATAAAGAGCCTCACGTGAGCGCTGCTCAGCTGTCATCTCAAGAAATTTCAGCAGCACGTTTTAACACTGAAAACTCTGCTCTTCACATAGTTCTACTATTTTTAGCTAATCCACATTACAGCAGCTATAACAGCTCGAATGCAGCCTTCTTAAAGCAGACAGGTTGTTCTACTATAGAAACAACCCTGCTTTCTCCTCTTTTCTGCTTTTTTCTCTCTGAACCCTCAGCAAGATGCGCTCAGGGCCTGATGAAGCGACAGGGGAGCCAGAGGTACGGTTTTAATGAGCTAGTCTAAGGGACGCTCCCAGTAAATACAAGAGACGATGACGAAGATGAGGAAAACGAGGACCTTTTGTTTATATCATTATTATTTCTACCTCAGTTACATCAGAAAAGGGAGGAAGGCAGGCCACCGGATGAAGTTCACCCCAATTCAATTAAAACGAGTCCTTCTTATCCCGCCGCTGGCCTCGGCTGCTGACTCGCAATTTTGCTTCTACTCCTTCTTTCCCACCCAGAGAGAGAGAGGAATATTACGCTCATGCTGCATGAAAAGCTTCACCAAATGTGAATATTTCATTATCAATATGGCCAGGGAGCTCAGAGGCATTTGGATGGGTTCTTTTGTGGGAATGTCCACTGGCACAATTCATATTAGGGGTCCAAACACGGTCACTGTTCTGGAAAGTACAACATTCAGTGTAGAACTGGGTTTCATTTGTTCTGCTCCTAATAAAAATGGCAGAGTACGTTATGTTACCGTACAACCTATGAGTGAATATGTTCTATATGAACTACTGAAATAAATACTTAACTGTATATACACTGAGGAGCCAAAACATCATGACCACCTGTCTAATATGCTCTTGGTCTTCCGTGTGGTGCCAAAATAGCTCTGACCCGCTAAGGTGTGGAGTCTACAAGACTGCTGTAGGTGCCCCGTGATATCTGGCACCAAGATGTTATCAGCAGATCCTTTAAGTCCTGTTCTGAGTTCTGAACATGCCTTCAACATGGTAGTAATATGAGGGAAGACTGATTGAGGGAGGGAGGAGAACTCTGAGAACTTGCACTAGATTCTGTGAAGCTTCTGTCTGTAGCTAGAAGGCCAGACCACCTCATAGCTGCAGTAGGACTGATATAGGAGGAACAGGAAGGAGATGGGGTGGCAATGGGGATTGCACACCCTTCGTCACAGGAACAGAAGGTGAGGATGTGAATTTATACAGTGTTAGATTGGAAGACGGAGGGGTTTCAGGCATGTTCCTCCCCCCAAAAGTCAGTTATAACATAACTACATTGAGTTGCTCGGTGGAGCTGCCACAGATTGGACTTGTTCCAGCACATCCAACAGATGCTCAATCAGATTGACATCTGGGGAATTAGGAGGCCAGGGCAACACCCTAGACTCTTCGTCATGTTCCTTAAACTATTCCCGAACAGTGTGTTTAGCAGAACTCATTATCCTGCTGAAAGAGGCCACTGGCATCTGGGAATACCATCTCCAGGAAGCAGTGTACCTGGTCCACAACCAGGTACATAGGCAAGGTAAGTAGGTGAGTAAGGTAGGTAAGTAGATGGCACGTGTCAAATCCTAGCCCTGGGGTTTCCCAGCAGAACACTGTCCAGAGCATCACACTCCCTCTACCGTCATGTCTTCTTCTCACAGTGTATCCTGGTGCCATCACTTCCCCTATATGGCGCACATATAAGCAGCCGTTCGCTTGATGTAAAAGAAAACTAGACTCATCAGACAAGGCAACATTCTTCCATTGCTCTAAGGCTGGGCTCCATCGCTTACATGTGCACTGTAGGTGCTTCTGATGGTGAACAGGGGTTAGTGTGGGCACTCTGACCGGCACCATGCACAGCAGAGTGCAGTGCTCTGTGTTGTGACACATTCCTCCTGTAACCATCATTAAATATTTCTGTGGCACAGTAGTCCCTTCTGTCAGTTCAGATTGATGAGCCCTGGGCGCCCAGCATCTCGTTGGTAGATACAAACCACGAGCGCCCCACAAGGCTTGGTCCGACCCAGTCGTCTGACCACTACAATTTGGCCCTTGTTAAAGTCACTCACCTCCCCATTTCTCCAACATCCAACATGTCCATTACATGACCAGTAAGACTGTTTTCTTACTAAGATATTCCAGACCTTGATACGCACCACTGTTACGAGAAAACCAACGTAATTCAGTTAATCTGTGAGTGGTCATAATGATTTGGCTCATCGGTGTATATATTGAATAAAGAGGAATTCCACCAATTTGGTTAAATTTTCTGCATAATTCAATAGTTGAAATGTAAACAAGGTCATTCAGAGTGGTTTGATGTGAAACGGTTCACTGTAGAGAAGCTTAACGACTCCGAATTCTTTACAAATACAGCCATTCAATATAGAAAACTAGCAGTGAATCGACACATGTCTCCTGAGTTTTATATGGAATGTTGATGATGGTAAAATATGCTTTTTTTGGGGGGGTACTATTTTCCTCACAGCGCCCTCCACCATAAATTAATTTTAAGGCCAAAATCTTCTCAAAACTATCATAAAACAGTGTCTCAGTCATCAGGCAGTGAATTCATAACAATTTACTGTAGTAACTTTCTGTGAGGGAGCTTTTAGAGGTGGACGTCTGGTTCCTATCACCACCACTGTGAACAGTTCTGACTCTAGAATGGAGCATTTCTCTAGTACGGGTGGAATGCCCCTGTAAATAATACATTTTAATATGTAAGCTATATGGATAATAAATGGCTGGATATATCTTGAAATATCTCCAAATCATAATCTTTCAGAAATAACATCTATAGAACGTATGAATGGAAAAGAAAATATATTTTATTCCATTGTCATCTGCAACATGAGATAAACAGCAGGGTTCAAAACAAACACGTCCTTGTCGTACCGCAGCATTCCAGTTCAGATGCATCTACCAAAACATTATTAGAACAGTATGTGCTGTACATATTTAAAAAAATCAGTGCAACTTCAGGGCAGGTGCCGCCTTAAACGGACTCAAAGACTGAGATTTAATTCAGTTCGCACTGACGCAGTTAGAAAAACAAATTATACAACCACAATGCAACCAGACCGTAGCAAATTAAGAAAAATCATTATGCTTTGTAAACATTATTTATAGTTTTATACAAGCAGAAACTGCGGGAAGAAATGGTATTTTAAGGTCTGCAGCAAGTGGGGCTTCGCAAAAAAAACACCCTTTGCAGATTGCCTCAGGCCTTGCATGAAAATTTCATTGGCACATGTTGAATAGCAAACCCTGGTGGATAAAGAAAATCGTATTGCTGTTTCTTTCACTGAGTCACACGTTCAGAGAGTGAAAGGGAACGAGGAGAGGGGTAAGGAGCCGGATGTTTCAGATGATTCCCCTCGATCCCTGTAGACGCCGGAGCCCACAGAACGGCAGTCGCTGTGTTTTTTCCTTGTGATTTTAAATGGGTGTAGATATGGCTGTAAAATTTTAAAGAGAACTGCACAGCTACCACGACATCGTCTTGGATTCGTATGGCACATATGTACATTTTGTGCTTGCGCAGCAAATGCATAAAAAAATTCAGCATATTCATAAACTTTTAAGGTATTATTTGATTTAAAAACATTAACTACCCTGTTTCCTCCACCTCTGCATATTCTGAGTTACTTTATTTACAGCATGGAGTGTCTAAACTTGTAGCCCCGAACGATTAAAGGAGCTAAATGTAAGCTTTGGGGTTTCGCTAATGGAATATGGTTTGCGGATGAGTTTGATTCTGCATAAACACCATTTTTCTTGTTTGCATGACATTTGCACCAAACACACCACCATGCTTGGTGCATTTCAACGAATGTAGCATTGATAATTGTTTTGGTGATCAAGGGCATATAATGGTCTATGAGGATCTTATGAAGATCATTTTTAAATGTAAACTTGAGTATTACATGTAGCTCCTTTAATGGTGGCATGGCACAACCTGTAGTGCAAAATGTGCAAAGAGATCAGTGTCTTTAGAGACACACACAAAAAAAGAACTTCGACCGGTATGAATTAGGAATACATGTCAATACAACAACAGTATCAAAATGACGGTGAAGACCGGAGGCTGTATTACAGAAACTTCCTAGCTGTAATGCTATTTAATCTGACAGGTCAAGATAAGATTTTTCACAAATTCATATTAAAGAAGCCGATCTTATCTTACAGCATCTTGTCTCAAGTTTGGAAAACCAAAAGTATTCGATGGAGGTTGATAATCAGTTATATCTGCTCCAAGCGCCAATTGATATGCAAACATGCAATCAAAATAACATAAACAAAAAGTTAATTAGCTAGATTAGTTAGAAAGTTCAAAGTCTGGAAGTTGGAAAAAGACGTACTAAGGCTTTTGCATGTTGCGGTAAAGTTATTTCTCTCAATAAACAGCCTCATTATTCACCACCATTCTGCAATATGAGTAAACGTACTGTCATTTTGGTGGTTAATGCTAGCTGCCTGTCACAGTTGCCTAAACATGCTAATTTTCTATTTTTTCGTAGAACAGCTAACAGTAGAAACGGAAGAAAACAGAAGTTAAGACACTGTTAGGATTGTCCTAAAGTTTGGACAGTATTTCAGAAATTCTGTCAAGGATGCATCTGCAATCCTCTTTTCTCATCAGGCGTTCGGATACAATTAGGTGATATTCTGTAATAGCTATTGTCTTAAATTCAGTCCTGAAGTTGTCATGGTGACTACACAGAAAAAAATTCACAGATAGGATCTCTGTAATACGGCTCCCGGTCATTTTCACAACAGGTGAAGAAAATAGGAAGTTGAAATTGTCGCATAGGTCAGTAAGTCCTCAAGTATCTCAAATAAATGGCTGACGAGCATGAAAGATTTCATTGAGCATGTAGATAATTTGGTACATAAACCAAGACATCATCCACATGAAAGACATACCTCCACTGGAGACTTTGGAGAATACATGAGTTCAAACATCAGAGAGTAATCAGTTCACATTTATATAACCCTTTACAGAGGGGGAGGGGGAGGGGTACATATGTGGCAACTCAGAACTGAGTGAAAGTTGTCCTTTTTTCATGAACCTCCAAATAATCTGGCTCGAAATGAAGCTTGGCTTTTAGTTCCCAGTATTCGCTCCTGTTGGGCTCCACGTAGACCGTGGCTGGCGCTGAGCAGTACACCATGGTCTGCTGTATCCTGTCTGGATGCAAGTACTGATGTCTGACATCAAAGTCTGGTGCATAGTGAGTTGAAACATGTGTACCGTGCTTACACGGTAAATTGGCCCTGTAGGACGCCTGCTGGTCTCTCGCCAGGATGTCTCGATAAAAAAAGCTATCGTCTTGCAGCGGAGACGATCTGTTGAGGGGATCTGGCGTGCAGGCACTGAATTCGGAGCCAACCGCGGTGCTCCCGACATCCTCGTCTGAGTTAGATGCCAACCCGCCGTTTAGCTCGTCAAAGTCTCTGTACCCTTCCCCTGCGGTGCCCTCACCCGGGCCGTAGGGGGCTCTTTTGGATGTGCCCTCCACTGCAGGAGGGATGTACTCATACACATGACCTGCAGAGGTCCTGACCTTTGTCGTCGATCGGTCACTGTAAAGGGTGTTGAAGGAGCTCACGTTGGCGCCCATGGAGGCGGCACGTTCGGCCTTCTTGCGCCGTTTCATCATGACTGCGAAAAGACCGGCGGCGATGAAAACGGACATGATGAAGATGATGAGCAAAGCCAGGATGAGCACAGAGAGAGGGATTGCGGGATACTGTGTGTCGAAATCCAACGCCGTTTCCAAGGTGATGGTGCTGCCTGGGAAAGATTCTTCCGAGGGCGGAACAGCAGATGCAGGAGTGTTCGAGTTGTTTGGACATAGATGAGAGGAATGAATGTAGCGCACATCCTCTCCTGACAGCCTCGGAGGAGACTCACAGATCACACTGTTCACTACAGTTCCGGCGCTGAGCTGCTCCAACCAGTTTTTCATCTCCACAATAGCACAGGAGCAATCCCAGGGGTTCTCAAACAGATCTATCTGCACAAGGGACGTCAGTTCCTCTAAAACACTGCCTACCGGCAGGCTCCGAAAATGATTGTTGCGCAGATTCAGCCGCGCCAGGCTCAGTCCGCTGAACACTCCCAGGGGTAATGCTTTGAGCAGGTTGTTGTTGAGGAAGAGCAACTGAAGATTGGGTACCTGCTCAAAGGTGCCCACTGCTATCTCTCTGATGACATTGTATTCCAAGTAAAGAAACTGGAGACTTTCTAAGCCATAAAACATATCGTCAGTGAGCCTCTCTATTAAGTTCCCATTTAAATAAAGCCTGCGCAAGTGCACCAGCTCCCCAAATGCTCTGCTGTGAATAACAGATATCCGATTGTTCCCCAAGTGAAGCAAGTCTAACCCGGTAGCTTCTGAAAAGTCGGAACTGTGCACTGAAGGGATGTAATTTCCTGTGAGGTACATCTTTTTCGGGTTGTAGGGTTTGGGGTCTAGATCCGAGATGCGCTCAATCTTCCTCTCTTGACAGTTGACGTTCAGGCCGAGATCTGAAATCTGGAGATTGCAAGTGCATGCGGCGGGACATTCGAGGGATACCGGGGATTTGGTCTGGTAAGCCACCATCGGTCCATAGTTCTGCGGCTTGCTCGAGGAGACCCGTGAGGTGGGTTTGGCACGCAGCTTCCCTGACTGACGAGGGCTCTTAGTGGGCCGTGTAGAACGTTGGATGTTGGAGGAGGTGAAAGATGCGGTTGCTGCGCCAGCAACTGTGGTCCTGAAGATCCCCTCTGCGCCATGAACCGGTTCGGCCCGCATCTCGTACTCGGCTATGGCTCTCCTGGGACACAGCTCCTGCTTAGAGATCTCGTCAAGGTCTCTGCCGTGCAGCCGGAATGGCGTCTCACAAACCACATCTCCCACCAGTGCCGTGTACGAGATGCTCTCCAGCCAAGCTTTAAGTGCGATGAGCTCGCAAGAACAGTTCCACGGGTTTTCTTCAAGCTGCAGCTCCACGATCCCGCCCATGTGCTCCAGAAGGCCGCTGTAGGGGAGCAGCTTAAGCTGGTTCCCTCTGAGGTCGAGATGCGTTAGAGGAACAAACTGAAAAATGTTTTTTGGCAGGGCAGACAGCAGGTTGTCATTCAGAATCAGTACCTCCAGATGACGCAGCCTGTTGAGGGCATTCGCCTCGATATGACTGACGTAGTTGTAGTCGATCTGAAGGTACTCCAGACTCTCGAGGCCGACGAAAGTGTCGTCCCGCAGCACTTCAATTTTGTTGTTGTTCAAGTGCAAGCGCTTTAATCCCTGAAGTCCATTAAAAGCCCCGCTCTCAATTTCCGCTATGTCGTTGTTGCCCAGATGCAGAATAGTGAGTACCTTGGTAATGCACGAAATCATTAAGCGAAAGCTTTTTCAGAAGGTTGCCTGTGAGCAAGAGATGATATGTGTTGAAGTGCAAAGGCCCGACATCAGAGAGGCTGACGATGCCTCTGTTCTCACAGCCGGCTGTCAAAACTCCGTCTCGCTCTTCGCAAACGCACAGCCCTCCGCAGATCTCTCCGTAAATGTCAAACATCTCCGTGAAGCTCAGAGACACGGCCATGAACGAGACCACCGTTATCCAGATATTCATGTTTGACGGCGAGGCTCACTTCAGTGCAGCAGAGACGAGGCCCCTCATCTACAGAGGGAGAGAGGAACATTCATCAGTATATTTGTTTATTTGTTTACTTCCACAACATACAGATACACACAGGACTTAATCTGAATCTGAATCAGTCTGTTCTCCATCACAGGCTGCAGTTTATGTGTAATCCTACCTAATTGCTGCTAACTGAATGCACAAAAAGAGCATAAAGAGAAAAAAATCCATGCTGACATGCATGTAAATACCAACTCTAGCCCGCAGGGTTTGGCCTATATTTTCTAGGGCAGTACAAGGTTCACATCTTTCTCTGATTCTTAAAGGAAGTTAGAGGCTTTGGCTCTTTCTATAGAAATCTATAGGCGCTCAGAGCGTTCGCTGATAAAGCAACGAGTTCATTAATAAAGCAAATCGTTCATTAAGAAAACTGTGAGGCTGAATAAGAGCTAATAACGTTCATATAATGAGGAGGATTTAGGAGAAAAGTTCAGCCACATAGTCTCTCTCTCTCTCTATCCACCTCTCTGTTAATCTCTCTCGCCCTTTTCTTCTCTGGGTTTACCTCTTTCTCTCCACTGTTGTGTTTATCCCTCTGCATCTCTCTCTATCTCTCCTTTTTTCTTTTTCTACATCTTTCTTTTCGTCTTCTCTTTCTGTTTATTTATCTATCTCCTTCCCTTTATTCTCTCCATCGCTGTGTCTCTCTCTTCTCTCCATTTATCTCTTTTCTGTCTTCACATCTCAGTTATTTCTCTTGCTTTCTCCATCCCTCTGTCTATGTATCTCTCTCCATTTCTCTGTTTATCTCACTCACCCAGCCCTCTCTCTCCATCTATCCTTTTTTCTTTCTCTACATCTCTTTCTTCTCCTCCCTCTGTCTATCTCTCCTTCCCTTTTATCTCCACCTGTTTTTCTCTTTCTCTCTCCGCTTCACTGTTTTTACCGTTTCTCTATCTCTCTCTGTTTATCTTTGTCTTTCTCTGTTTATCTTTCTCTCCACCTCTCTGTTTATCTCTCTCCATCTTTCTCTATTTCTGTCCTTCTTTCTCTGGTTATCTCTCTCCATCTCTCTCTTTTTATCTCGCTTTCTTGTCCTATTCTATTTCTCTCTTTCTCTCTCCCTGCTGTTTATCCCTCTACCTCTCTATCTTTCCTTTTCTCTCTACATCTTTCTCTTCTTCTTCTCTTTTTGTTTATTTTATCTCCTACCCTTTTTCTCTCCATCTCTGTTTCATATCTCTTGCTTTCTCCATCTCTCTCCCCTTCCTTTTTTCTCCCTCTGTTTATCGCTCTCTCCATTTATTTCTTTCTCTCCATCTCTCTGTTTATCTCTCTCAGTCTTTCTCTATTCCTGTCCTTCTTTTTAAGGTATTCTCTCTCCATTTCTCTGTTTCTCTCTGTTGCATTCTCCTCTCTGTTTATCTCTTTCTTTCTCTACATCTCTCTTTTACTTCTTTTTTGTGTTGATCTATCTCTCCTTTTTCTCCAGCTCTGTTTCTTTCTCTTCCTTTCTATCAATCTCTCTATCTCTCCCCATTTTTTCCTGTCTCCCCTTCCTTTCCCTCCCTCCCTCTCTCTCTCTCTCTCTCTCACCCACACTGACAGTGATGTTGAACTTGCAGCTCCAGTTTGAACTTTGTCTCTCCTTCATTAATTCCAGCTCTAACCTCACCTCTCTCTCTCTCTCTCTCTCTCTCTCTCTCTCTCTCTCTCACACACACACACACACACACACAGGCTATTCTACATGCCGTCATTTTGCATCACGAATCACACACACAAACGCGCCCACACAGTTCCGGTTCTTTGTGTGAAGCTCAGTCTGAATAATAGAACAGTGAAGGCGCGTGTTAAGAACCCGTATGTGCGTGAAGTCTTACCAGCGATCAGCGCTGCCCGTTAGTGACCACAGCCCGTGCACGTCCAGCGTTAGTCCAGCTCAGAGCTTCCTCACCCATCAGCACCATGATTCACTCTACAGAGAGGAGCAGAGCGGAGAGGAGGAGGAGGAGGAGGAGGAGGGCCCAGCAGACACGTGACCAGGAGGAGGAGGAGGATGAAGATTGTGATGATGATGAGGACCATGATGTCGAACTTGTTGCGATGACATCATATATTTCAAACATGAAGTCAAAACTCGACATTAGGAAGCTCAGACAGCAGAATAAAACAATGTAATTACAATTAAAGAAAAAATCAATAAGAACTGAAAAGAAACATTTAAGTGTATAAACAATCAGTTATCGAATATCAGAAACTGTGAAAAGAAAAAAGACGCAGAAACACAGAGAGACAGAGCATCATCACCATCAGGAAAGAGCACGAGGACAACAGGGAGGAAGAGTGATGATGGAGAATGTGAGGATGATGATGGTGAGAATGGTGGTGATGGTGACAGGAATGATGATGGTGATAGTGTGGATGATGATGGTGATAGCAATGATGATGGTGATAGTGATGATGATGGCAATGGTGAGGATGATGAAGGTGATGATGGTAATGATGGTGATGATTGTGATGATGTTGATAGTACTAATGATGCTGGTGATAGTACTGATGATGATGGCGAGGATCATGATTGTGATGTGATAGTAATGATGATGGTGATGATGGTAGTGATGGTGATGATAGTGATGATAGTACTGATGATGATGGTGATAGTATAGATGACAATGGTGAAGATCATGATTGTGATGATGGTAGTGATGGTGATGATAGTGATGATGGTGATAGAACTGATGATGATGGTGACAGTAATGATGATGGTGATCGTGAAGATGATGATTATGGTGATGATGAAGGTGATAGTAATGATGATGGCAATGGCGAAGATGATAGTGATGAGGGTAATAGTACTGATGACAGTGATAGCAATGGTGATGATGAGGATGATGATGGTGAGGATGATGTTGGTGATGATGATGATGGTGAAGATGATGATCATGGTGATGATGAAGGTGATAGTAATGATGATGGCAATGGTGAAGATGTTGGTGATGACGGTAGTAATAGTGATGATGGTGATAGTACTGATGACAGTGATAGTAATGGTGAGGAAGATGTTGGTGATGATAGTAATGATGGCAATGGTGAGGATCATGATAGTGATGATGGTTGTGATGGTGATGATAGTACTGATGACGGTGTTAGTAATGGTGATGGTGAGGATCATGATGGTGATGGTGACAGTAATCATCAGTGATGTGGTGATGGAAAGAGCAAGAGGATGACAGTGAGGATGAGGAGTGATGAGGATGGTAATGAAGATGGTACGGGGACAATGGTGATGATGGTGATGATGGTGATGTAACGACATTGGCAATGACAGTGATGATGGTGATAGTAATGATGTGATAGCTTTGATGGTGATGATGATGGTGATTGTAATGGTGATGAAGATGATAGCGATGATGATGGTGATAGTGATAATAGTGATGGTTGTGATTGTAATGATAAGAGAAAGATCAAGAGGATGACGATGATGGTAATGAAGATGGAAAGATAGGGGGACAATGATGATGCTGGTGATTGTAATGATGATAGGGATGATAGTGATGGTGATAGTGATGATGGCGATGGTGAGGATGATTTTGATGGTATTGATGATGGTGATGGTAATGATGATGGAAAGAGCAAGAAGATCACAGTGAGCATGAGGACAATCACAAAGATGGTAAGGTAGGAGACACTGGTGATGATGGTGATGATGGTGAATGACGATAGCAATGATGGTGATGATGGTGATACGGGATGATGATGATAGTGATAATGATGGTGGAGATGGTGAGGATGATGACTGTGATGGTGATGATGATGAGGAAGATTCAATACAATAATAGTTTAAAAAGCACTGAAGCTAAATCTCGATCATTTTTTAATGTTACTGTTAATATATAGTGCACTTTACACACATCTATCAAATACAGAAGCAACAAACAAGACAAATGTGGACAATCACAATTAGACAATTACAGACACAAATCAACTGTCTAACAACAATATTCATCCCTAAAAAGATGAGTTTTTAAGGACTTTAGATCGCCTATTTTTCGGATGCCAACATGGAGCTGATTCTATAGACGCAGAGCTGCAGAGGAGGAAGAAATAAAGACCACCGTTCAGAGAGCAGGTAGAGGAAACGGCGTGGAGAGATGAAAGGCAGTGAGCTCAGTGAAGAGGTGTGTCAGAAAGATGAAAGGAGTATTGGAGGAAGCTCAGTGACCCTGTTACTCACACGCTGCTGGTGTGTGGTCAAGAGCTTTAACCGTCCACCAGCCTTCAGCCGGAGAGACGTCCAGGCTGACACTGAGAGTTATGCAGCCGTCATGGCATCCAGCTGAGCATCTCTCTGACACCGAGAAGGGAATCGCTGACGCGGCTGAGCCCAGGAGCCGAGGAGCCGATCGCCGAGAGCTGCCAGTGTACGCGATTCTGACAGATAACTCAGGGTTTGGAAGGTATTGCCTGCGGTGAGGCTTGGAAAAGTGGCATTTTGGTGGAGCAAACATAGTCAAGCAGAAGAAGTCTGAGTAGATATTGAACCCTGACAGAACTCCCCGATGACAGAAGCTACGCCACATCATTAGCAATGAGAGTCAGAGGCTGAAACTCAGTCTGACAGTGACTGACTCGTCTTTGAGCCAGTCGCGGCTCAAGGACTGCTGTTTCGGACGGGCACCGCACATTCCTGAGTGGGCTGAACCCTCGGACGAATCATGGCCTTGTGAGCCCCCTGAGAACAAAACTCTTTGGAGGCCTTCTGATAATATTACATAACCATTTGTTTTGAAGACTGATATTAAACAATATTTCACATTTGTGTTTATACACTGCAAACAATGCTGTCTTAGCCAGTGAAAGCATCTTCAATCTGATCAATATAAATAATATTTTTTCACTATGAGAATATTATAATACTGTAAGAATATTGTAAGATCATTGAACTTATTTCTAGATTTTTTTATGTTTTAAATTATTTCATCTAACGTCATTCTTCAACCCCATTTCCAAAAAAGTTGGGACGCTGTGCAAAATGTACATTTTTACGTTTTTATGTATATTTTTATTTTTACGTTGTTATTCTTAAATTGTTGCACTGTTTGCTCGTGCAGTGTTTCACAGAGTGCTGAACCCCTCCTCATCTTTACTTCTGAAAGACTTTTATAGCCAATCATGTTACTGACTTGTTGCTAATTAACCACCAGGTGTTTTTTAGCATTACACAACTTTACCAGCCTTTTGTTGCCCCCGTCCCAACTTTTTAGGAACATGTTGTTGGCATCAAATTCAAAATGGGTAAATATTTTTCAAAAAACAATAAAATTTAATAGGTTTTAACATTTGATATGTTGTCTTTGTACTACTTTCAATGAAATGCACATCATTTAATTTTGTTTTTATTTTACATTTTTCACAGCGTCCCAACTTTTTTGTAAACGCAGTTGTATTATATTGCGGTTATATTATATTGTATAATTTTTTCTTGTTTGGAGACATAATGCAGATACTAGAATAAAACAATTCAACCAAAAATGTCTTTAAGGAAAAAGACAAAGTAAAGAACATCTAGAAATGATTTAAATACATTAAATACTCTTATAATATTACACAACAATCTCAAAATGAGAACTAGACATTTTGACATTTAACACTTAAAATAAATTCACTTTCCAAGATATAATTTTTTTGAAGATCACTTTGAGGAGAACTGGACATTACGAAATTATGAAAATAAAAAAAAATATCCTTATTAATGTGGGGTATCCTGTTCTACATCATAACAGTTCTTGGGTAAAATTAAAATGAAGATTAATTTTCTAAACTGAGTCAACTAAACTGCATGGAAACAACAAAATCCCAGTCAAAATAACTGTAAATACACTATACGGCTGAAAGTATGTGGACACCTGACCATCACATCGAAATGAGCTTATTGGACATCCCATTCCAAAACCATGGGCATTATATGGAGTTGTTCCCCACTTTGCAGCTATAACAGCCTCCACTCTTCTGGGAAGCTTTCCACAAGATTTTGAAGTGCATCTCCGTTCCAGTTCATCCCAAAGGTGTTCAGAGGGGTTGAGGTCAGGGCTCTGTGAGGGCCACTGGAGTTCCTCCACACCAAACTGGTCACTCCATGTCTTTATGGAGCTGCTTTGTGCACAGGGGCTCAGTCCTGCTGGAACAGGAAAGGCTCTTCCCCAAACTGCTGACACAAAGCTGGAAGCAGATAACTGTGTAAAATGTCTTTGTACTGCAGCATCAACATCACCCTTCACTGGAACTGAGGAGCCCAAACCCTGAAAAACAGCCCAGCCCATCATCCCTCCTCCACCAAACTCTACTGTTGGCTCTGTGTAGGTAGCGTTCTCCTGACATCCACCAAACCCAGATTCCACTGCTCCAGAGTCCAGTGACGGCGCTTTACACCTCTCCATCCGACGCTTGGCATTGTGCATAGTGACCTCAGGCTTATGTACAGCTGTTTGACCATAGAAACCCATTTCGTGAAGCTCCTGATGCTCAATTCTTGTGCTGATATTTCTTCCACATGCAGTTTGGAATTCTGTAGAGAGCGTTGCAACAATGCTATGCGCCTTGACCCTCGTGAGTTTGTGTGGTCTGTCACTTCATGGCTGAGCTGTTGCTGCTTCTTGGCTCCTTGACTTGATCTGTTTCACAACAATAGCACTTACAGTTTACGATGGCAGTTCTAGCAGTGCAATAATTTCACAATGTGCTTGGTTTTATACACTTGCTATCAATAAGTGTGACTGAAATGCCTGAATTAGGAGGGATATTCACATAATTTACATAACATTTCTTCAGTTGTTTAGTCACTTGTGCATGTTGAAGGGCTGATTGTTTATATAAGGTTTGTATCTGCAGTGGATTGTCCCGAGGATTTGAGCCGTGTGGTTTGAGGCCCTCTGAGGTCAATAATCCATCCCTGGCTT